CCGGGGCCTCCTCTGGCCTCTCTCCAACAGCTCCGTGTCCTCCCTGTGCTGGGGACCCCAGAGCTGTTCCCAGCCCTGCAGGGGGGTCTCAGCAGAGCAGAGCAGAGGGGACAATCCCCTCCCTGGCCCTGCTGCTCACGCTGCTGGTGACACAGCCCAGGACACGGGTGGGTTCTGGGCTCCAGCTCATGCTGAGCTTCTCATCCACCATCACTCCCAGGTCCTTCTCCTCAGGGCTGTTCTCCACTCATTCTCTCCCTGTAATTGTGCTCCATGGCCCTTCTCTGGCCCCTCTCCCACAGGTCTGTATCTTTCTTGTGCTGAGGGATTTAGACCTGGACACAACCCTCCAGGTGGGGTCTCACCAGAGCAGAGGGACAGAATCCTCTGCCCCTTGCAAAAAACGTGTCCCTTGAGCACCTGAGGTTGGTCAAACCCCCCCCATGGATACAGGGACCCTCAGCCTGTGTGGCCTGGACATGTATAGGCAGATATTCTGGTCTCTTGGGTATGTTGAGGTCTCACCTCTCTCCCTAAGGAGACCTGTGCCCTCCTGGCTCTGGCTCTTCCCAGCCACGGGGAGTGGGACACGTGGAGGAATCACCTCCAGAAGGAAAGCTGGGGCTGCCACCATGTCCCCATCCTCCCCCTGCCATCCATCCTCCTCACCCTCCCCCAGCAGAGCCTCCCTCACAATGGCACCTTGTGGCTGGAGGGACAGCTCTGAGCCTCCTCTGTCTGGGCCCCACCATTTCCTCTCCTCCCCACCTCCTGAGGCCAAAATCCTTGTGTCTGCACGGAGCTCCCCAGCCCTGCCAGCCAAGGACAGGGGAGGCCCTTGTCCCTGAGGCCAACACAGCTCTTTTGCTTGGCAGAGGGAAGTGTTACTGTTGGGAAAGAGCATGAGCTCAGTCACATATGGATTCCACCTCTCCATGGTCCATCACTCAACCAACAGAGCGGCGTGTGTGGAGCAAAGAGTCTTCAGGTTGGGCCTGGAACTCGTCCACCTGCCTTTGTATGGGCTTGTGATATTGATGTGGCCTCCTCTGGTTCTGTGCTGGGACTGTTGGCTCCTCCAGGCAGGAGCTGGGAGGAGGAACCAGCATCAACACCCAGCTGGAAGCTTGAACCAGCTCGCTGGTGGTGTCTGACCAGCTCCAGGATGAGCTCCAGTGAGGGCTTCCCCTTGTTTTTAGGGGTCTGGACACCTCAGAAGGTTTGAAATGTGAGTTGCTGATGCTTTAGAGCAGGAATTATCCTGAGGAGGGAGGGCAAGGAAGGAGCAAAGGAGAACAGGAGGGATCAGAGAGGGACAAGCATGGTTTGGAGGCTCTGTTGGCAGGGGGGGTTGAATGATCTTTAGGGTCCCTCCTAACTCAAACCAGACTGGGATTCTGGTTTTGAGACCAGTTTCTTGACTGAGACTCAGTTCACTGCCCAGCCCAGAGCTGAGCACCACATCTACACAGTCGTGTTGGTTCCCCATGGAGTCAGCAGAGAGAAGCAGTGAAGTTCTGTCATAGAATCATGGAATCCCAGACTAGTTTGAGTTGGAAGGAACCTTAAAAGATCATCCAGTCCCACCCCTGCCATGGGCAGGGAAACCTCCCAGCAGCCCAGGCTGCTCCAAGCCCCATCCAACTTGCCCTTCAACACTGCCAGGGATGGGGCAGCCACAGCTTCCCTGGGCAACCTGGGCCAGGCTCTCCCCACCCTCATCCCAAAGCATTTCTTCCTCAGATCAAGTCCAAATCTCCCCTCTTTCAGCTTGAAACCATCACCCCTTGTCCTGTCACTCCAGGCCCTGCTAAAAGGTTTCTCCCCATCTTCCTTACAAGCCCCCTTTAGAGCACCAGGCAAGGTGGTAAATGCCCCTCCAGCCCCACGACCTCCTTCCATCTCACCCTGCACTGGGCAGGATCTGCTCCCTGGGATAGGGCATCACCTCTCACCAGCTCCATCCCATGTTGGGATGTTCTTCTCCCTGCTGCCTCGTGCCCTCCTTGCTCCTGCTGGAGCATCCTCTGCATGCTCCTCAGCTCCTGGCATCTCTCAGAAACCACCACCCAGGGGCCCAAAGGTCTCAGCCAGCTCTCTGAGGGCTCTTGGGTGAACATTATCTGGGTCGGTTGATTAAAAGATGTTTATCTCTTGCAGCTCTTGTTTAAAATACCCTCTTGGTTACTAATGCACTGGAAAGTGCTTCCCAGGCCAGGGGATGCTCAGCTCACCCTCCTGCTCCTTTCTAAGTATAGAGCAGCAGGATTTATTGAACACTTGTGCCTTCCCTGCGTCACCAACACTTTTATTATCTCCCTCCAGTCTCTTCTTTTGTTACTGGTAGGATTTCTTCTCCCCCACCCACTGAAAGGACTTATTAATAGCCCAAATAGCCACATATTTCTGGGGATGTCGTTGGTTTCCTGTCTTCATTTTCCACACTCCAGAACTTCTCCTGGAGAGGGGTTGCCACCCAGTTCCCACTTGTCACATACTCTTTTCATGTGTAACTGCTGCTGGGAATTGGGGAAAGTCTCTTCTCCAAATAAGGGGGAGCAGGTTGGCTGTGACTTCTGCTGGCAACCAGAGCCTGGATGGACAGGGAGCCTGGGAGAGAAGTGGGGGAGGATGGGCCAGACATACCTGCCTGGTTTGTCCTGCTGCACAGGGAACCAGGGCTGAGGGTGACCCTTCATCCCACCCAAAGGGAACCAGGGTGACCCTTCATCCCACCCAAAGGGAACCAGGGCTGAGGGTGACCCTCCATCCCACCCAAAGGGAAACAGGGTGACCCTCCATCCCACCCAAAGACAACCAGGGATGAAGGGTCACCATCATCCCACCCAAAGGCAGACAGGGATGATGGTGACCCTCCATCCCACCCAAAGGCAGACAGGGATGATGGTGACCCTCCATCCCACCCAAAGGCAGACAGGGATGATGGTGACCCTCCATCCCACCCAAAGGCAACCAAGGATGAGGGTGACCCTCCATCCCACCCAAAGGCAGACAGGGATGAGGGTGACCCTCCATCCCACCCAAAGGTCACTTCCATTGCTAAATGCAGGTTCTTGGGTCAAACATCTGAGCCAGGCACCTCCACTAATGGGACAATGTTGGCACAGACAGAAATATCAATCTCTGCTGAGGACATTTGTGGGTTTGTTGGGTTGTTTGTGAGTTTGTTTTCCTGTCCTGGAGGAGTTTCAGGGCTGGGGGCAGAGGGATGGAAAATTTTGGTCCCCAGCTGCTTCCAGGAAAGAAGAGCATCTGAGCATGGAGAAGTCTCTGGGGTTGGAGAAGGCAGGTGGCCAAGAGGGAGCAGAGAGGATGGAGATGGTCTGGTGGGAGGTGTCCCTGCCCATGCAGGGAGGTTGGAACCTGATGGTCTTTAAGGTCCCTTCCAACCTTCACCATCCTGTGAGATCCCAGGGCCCCGTTGGTCTCAGCTTTATTTCTCTTATGGCTTTGGAGGAGCTGGGACCTCCCCCAGCACGAGGAGCTTCCCAGAGCCACACAATCCTGTTGCTTTCACCTGCCTCAGGGTGTCCCTGATCTCATGGGCAGTTTCTGTTCTCAGATCAGACCTTTCCTGGTCCTTGTCCAGCCCTCACACACCAAACCAGGACCTCAGGGCATCCAGTGAAGACCCGTGTCCCTTCTGCCTCCCAGTTTGTGCCTCCAAACCTGGAGAAGCCTGATAATGAGGAGCCTGATAATGAGGAGCCTGATAATGAGCTTCCCAGTCTGACACCTTCTATTTCCACCCCCCAACAGGGATATTTCATCTGATGCAGACCAAGAAGATCAGCAAACAGGAATTCAAGCAAGAAGCTCAGAACTTCAGGCTCATCACCAGGACAAACGAAGGTGAGGAGAGAAAAAACCCCATCTCTTGGTTGGTTGGTTGGTTGGTTTTTTTCACAGACTCTGCCCCAAACAACCTCCTTGCTTTGAAATCCCAGCAGGGCATGGGGAGTTGAACCCCAGGGAAGAGGCTTCTGGAAAAGCAGCAGAGTGTGGGGCTGCCCTGGCTTCACACACACGTGGGCAGCAGCTCCTGCTGGGCAGCCCCAGCTCCACTGGTACCAGAAGGGGCAACCACTTCCAAAAGTGGATGGGGAAAATCTGGTGAAATCCAAAAGCTTTGTCTCTCCAAAGCCCATAAAACTGACCCCACTTGGAATAATGTGTCCAGCTCTGGGGTCCCCAGCACAGGAAGGACACGGAGCTGTTGGAGAGAGGCCAGAGGAGGCCCTGGAGATGCTGGGAGGGCTGGAGCAGCTCTGGAGCCAGGCTGGGAGAGTTGGGGTGTTCAGCCTGGAGAAGAGAAGGCTCCAGGGAGAGCTGAGAGCAGCTTCCAGTGCCTGAAGGGGCTCCAGGAAAGCTGGGGAGGGGCTTGGGACAAGGGCAGGGAGGGATGGGAGCAGG